ATTAAGTTAATGCACATTTATTCTAGAAATGGCTTTTCCCACTGCCTGTTCTTCCTTTCTCCTTTCCTTACCTCCTTCCCACTTTTTATTTTTTGACATTTTTATCATCTGCCTTCTTTCCTCCTTATTCCTCAGAGTTAGGTACTATGAGATTAATTTTCCCATACCTCCATCAATAAAAGCAGCAATACAATTCACTTTGAATACAATTCACCTGAATTATTTAAAAGCCTACCTTATGTGCTTCATACTATAGAGAAGGAATAATCTGTAGAATTCCTTGATTAAATTCCATATTTATCTTTGGATGGGTGAAACTCCTCTTACAAGTAAAGTTTAACCATCTTGAAATTGTCTGCACATGAGATTTTCCCTGCCTATGACTTACAACAGAGAAGGCTGTTATCAAGTGTTTTTTAATACAGTAGGCAAAGTTTTGCCTAAATAAGGGATGGAGTTAAACCTTCTGATTCAAAATTGAACTAATCTGACAAGAATTCCTTGTAATTTTTTATCACATTTCCTTAACATTTCTTTAATTAAGAAATAAATAAAAAAATTACATTGCATAAGAAATATCACACATAAATATTATAATTCTAGAATATACACACCTACACATACACATATCCACATTCACATCTAAATTATTAAATACTTTTGCTTTTATTTCACTTCACAACTATGCATACAGATAGACAGGGAGATGGAGGAACAGTACAATCTTAAAGTGGACAATTAAGAAGTCATGGGAACAGCCTTCCCATCATGGAAATAATGCAGATATGTTCCATCTGCACTCTGTTAGTACAGTATATCCTTTTCTGCCTGCCCAAGTGTGATATTAGAAACATATATCTTGGTCTGTGTGGTGGGTGGGGAACTGGCTGACATACCCTACTCAGAGGGTGATAGGGTCACTCCTCACACTGGCAACTGGTCACAAGTGGGGTCCCCAGGGCCCAAAGCCATTTAACATCTTCATAAGTGACCTGGATGTTTGGATCAAGAGCACCCTGATGAAGTTTGCTGACAACACCAAGATGAGTGGAGAGACTGACGCTCCAGAAGGGAGAGCCACCCTCCAGGATGACCAAGACAGACTGGAGGAGTGGGCTAGCAGGAACATTACCAAGTTCAACAGGCAGAAGTATAAGGTCTTGCACCTGGGAACACATAACCCAGAAGCACAATTCAGACTGGGATCCACCCGGCTGGAGAGTAGCCCTGTGGAAAGGTACCTGAGGGTCTTGGTGGATAACAGTCTCAACATGGGTGAACAGTGCACTGCAGGGCAAAGAAAGCCAACAGGATGCTAGGCTGCATTAACAAGGGCATCTCCAACAGAGATCAAGAAGTCATCATCCTGCTCTACTCAGCACTTGTCAGATCACACTTGGAATATCACATTCAGTTTTGGTCCCTGCTCTACAAAAAGGATGGGACAGGCTGGAGAGGGTCCAGAGGATGGCCACAAGGATGATCAGAGGACTGGAAGACCTACCATATGAGGCGAGGCTTAGAAAACTGGGTTTGTTCAGCCTTGAGAAAAGAAGGCTTAGAGGAGACCTTATTATCATGTTCCAGTATTAAAGTGTGGCTACAAAGAAGATGGAGATTCCCTATTTACAAGGAGTCACACAGAGAAGACAAGGGGTCATGGGTACAAGTAGCTCCTGGGGAGATTTCGACTGGACACAAGATGTAAATTTTTCACCATGAGGACAGTCAAACATTGGAATAGGGTCCCAAGAGAAGTGGTAGATTCCCCACATTGGACAGTTGTAAGTCTTAGCTTGACAGGGTGCTGGGCCATCTCATATAAACTATAGTATTACCTAAAAAGGTTGGACCAGATGAACCTTGAGGTCCCTTCCATCTTGACATTCTATGATGATTCTATGATTCTATATCTAACACATATTTAGAAAGATTATTATTATATTTAGAAAGATTATTATTAGTTAGACAGTGTTGATATGTAGATAGATAATAGATTAATGGATAGCTATGTGTGTGTGTGCTCTCATAGCACATTTGTGAAAGGGATTAACTTTGCAGTTTACTACAAATACATCATAATAGATACATGTAAGATTTAACAAGCTATATGAATGAGAAAAGGTGAGTTTGTGCATTTATGGTGGTTGTGTCAGATAATAGGATTTCTGTCACCTCCCTTAAACCATCCAGAAGATAGATCAGATTAATTATAGCCAATCTTAGTGGCTCAATAAATGTCTTTTGCAGGTTATCAAAGACATCTGCACAGGGCCTGTAAGTTTCTCATACCCTTGAGTTTCTACATCATTCAGAAGCAAGAGCTGAAAGATGGATGGCATGCTCTTCATCATCCTTTGTGCTAGCAAAAACCTATTTTTAGGCAATTGCTGCTATCCGACTTCTTAATCAGACCTGGCAACAGAAGCAGAATTCAGGTACCTGAATTTCATTTTTTGGAACAAGTAATTCCAAATGTCATCTCAAAACATGAAAGCAAAGAAAATCAATGGGAGAGGTCAACATGGATTCACCAAGAGGAAATCCAGCTTGACCAATCTGATAGCTTTCCATGACATTGTGACTGGCGGGGGGCATCAGCAGATGTCATCTACCCTGCCTTCATCAAGGCTTGACACAGTCTCTCATAGCATCCTCATGAGGAAACTCAGGAAATGAGGGCTAAATGAGTGGACAGTGAGGTAGGTGGGTGGAGAGCTGGTGTGTGACAGAACTCAGAGGGTTGTGATCAATGGAGCAGGGTCAAGTTGGAGGCCTGTAGCCAGTGGTGTCCCCCAGGGCTCAATATTCAGTCCAGTCCTGTTCAACATATTCATCAATGACCTGAACGAGGGGACAGTGTGTGACCTCAGCAAGTTCACTGTTGACACCAAACTGGGAGGGGTGGTGACACTCCAGAGGGCTGTGCTGCCATCCAGTGTGACCTGGAAAGGCTGGAGAGCTGGGCAGAGAGGAACCTCATGAGGTTTGACAAGGGCAAGTGTAGGGTCCTGCACCTGGGGAGGAAGAACCTCAGGCACCAACACAGGCTAGAGGTGGACCTGCTGGAAAGCAGTTCTGAGGAGAAGGATCTGGGAGTCCTGGTAGATAGTAAATGATCCATGAGCCAGCAATGTGCTGGCCTTGTGGCCACAAAGATCAATGGAATCCTGGGGTGCATAAGGAATTGTGGCCAGTAGGTTGAGAGAGGTCATTCTCCCCCTCTCCTCTGCCCTGGTGAGGCCACATCTGGAGAACTGGGCCCAGTTCTGGGCTCCACAGTTCAAGAGAGACCGAGAACTACTGGAGAGAGTCCACAGGAGGGCAACAAAAATGATTTGGAGATTGGAGCATCTCCCTGATGAGGAAAGGCTGAGAGAGCTGGGACTCTAGAGAAGAGGAGGCTGAGGGGAGATCTTATCAATGCCTGCAAGTATCTAAAGGGTGGGTGCAAGGACGATGGAGCCAGACTCTGTTCAGTAGTTCCCAGTGACAGATGAGGGGCAAGAGGCACAAGCTGGAACATGGGAAGTTCCATTTAAATATGAGGAAAATCTTTTTTACTGTGAAGGTGACAAGAGCCCTGGGACAGGCTGCCCAGGGAGCCTGTGGAGTCTCCTTCTCTGGAGATATTCAAGACCCGCCTGGATGCAGTCCTGTGAAATGTGATGTAGGGGATCCTGCTTTAGCAGGGGCTTTGGACTAGTGGTCCCTTCCAACTCTGACAATTCTTGTGATTCTGTGAATATCACCACGAGGGGTCTAAAGTGGAGTAACTCGCATGTAATGCTAGTTGTCTAAACTCTGATTATACTACAAAATAAAGTGCCAGTGTAATCCATATAAATAACAGTGTCCACAAATATTTCATACATTCCTAACTAGAAACCTTTATATGGCCAGATGAATACCTTTTTTGAGTCATTTTCCCCACCCCGTAGATGTCACTCCATAAGATTCTGAATGTCTTGTTTCTGTGCCCTAATTTTATGCTCTGTGTGCATGCAAAAGACTTCAAATATGCCCATGAACTCATATATGATCAATGAAGTTGGGATTCAAGAGCCTAAACACAGCCAAAGCATATGAGATGTCCTAGAGTTTCATAAATTCCTGCCAGATATGACACAGAAACTAGGGAAATTTCATAATCTGCTAGACTGAGAGCTGGAAGGCCAGGATAGTTATAGCGTCTCCAAACATGCTTATGTTTAGGTACTTGAATCACTAACACACAATTTAGACACCCACAGTGTGATTAATTCCACACCATTTACCTAGAAGAGGTTATTTTCATATCTGAATATCTTCTCTAGTCAAAGGAGAAAGACTAGCACTTGTGGCATCATTAATTCTATTGTGCTTTATGAGCCATTGTAACTTTTTTAACTTTTGTATTCATTACATAAACGTTATTCATGAGGAGATCCACCTACCATGTTTGAGCAGAGAATAGTTTATAATACTAGCTGGTTAAGTTCTGGATAAAGAGAGACATGGAGGTTGAGTGAAAAACTCATGTAAACCAATAGAGTACGGAAGAAATAAATATCATAAGCATTGTACCCCTTCATGTATCCAACACGTTTCAGGTCACACTGTGCTAGTATCATGAGATATTTGAGATCTGGATCAGAAATGTAACTCAGTTGCGTAGACGTGATCCTAATTGTATTTACAAAGATGGTCCTAGAGAAATCCTGTAGTCTAGTTCAGAAAGTCCCCTTGTGCCTCGATAGTACTTTGTGAAGTTGCTGTGTTGTTGCCACTGGTTGGCTTTTTTCACTATTAATTACTAATTTCATCTTCTTTTTCTCTTTTTTTTTTTTTTCTTTTTCTTTTTCTTTTTTTTCTTCCCCCTCAATCCAGACAGCTCTAATTACAAACACAGATTTTCAAGTCATGGTCTTTCCATACAAGCTAGCTTGAGTGGATGTTCAAACAGCTGCTCCATCTGCTTCTGCTGCAAAGTCTATAGCAGCCCCTGTGTGATTCTCAGCATGACTTCAGATAACCGGACCCATGTAGTTGAATTCATTCTGGTTGGTTTTCCAGGTAAACAGGAAATCAAGCTTCTGGTCCTTTTGATGTTCTTCCTGGCTTATGTGCTGACAGTGACAGAAAATGCAATGATTGTTGTGCTTGTTTGGACAAATCTTCAGCTTCAGAAGCCAATGTATGTTTTCCTGGGCAATCTTTCCTTTCTGGAGATCGGGTACATCTCTGTCACAGTTCCTAAAGTGCTTGTGAGCTTGCTGACAAACAGACAAGGCATTTCCTTCACTGGCTGCATGGCCCAGCTATTCTTCTTCCTGGCACTGGCCTGTAGTGAGTGCACTCTCTTGGCTGTCATGGCCTATGATCGCTATGTGGCCATCTGCAACCCATTGCGTTACCCAGTCATCATGGATCACACTCTTTGCACCCGTCTGGCCGTTGGTTCCTGGATCAGTGGCTTCCTGATTTCCACAGTGAAGGTTTATTTCATTTCACATCAGGAATACTGTGGGCCCAACATCATCAACCACTTCTTTTGTGATGTCTCTGCCTTACTGAAGCTAGCCTGTACCAACACCTCAGTAGCTGAGCTTATAGATTTCTTACTGGCCCTGCTAATCCTTCTTGTACCACTGGTTGTGATTATGGTCTCCTATGTGTGCATCATCTCTTCTGTCTTGGGCATCCCCTCAGCCAATGGATGTCACAAGGCCTTCTCTACCTGTGCCTCCCATCTTTTAGTGGTCATGGTGTTCTATACAGCCTCCCTGTTTATCTATGCCAGGCCCCAGTCTATTGATTCCTTCAGCTCCTACAAACTGGTTTCTGTGCTGTACACTGTCCTGACACCCCTCATCAACCCAGTTATCTATTGCTTTAGGAACCAGGAATTCAAAATTGCTCTTAGGAAAACAATACACTGGAGAGATAATTGCTCCTAGAAATTTCATCCAGGGTTTTCCTTATTTATTTAGGTGCCTTCTTCAGGTCATAATAAATTTATCTAGTGTACACTTATAGGATTTGGGATATTTAGGCGATCCTGAAGAAAAACAGGAGAGAGTTCAGAGGAATGTGCACCTCTTCCCACGAAGAAAGCAAGAGGTCAGACGAATAGAGCCTAACAACAGGGCAAAATTATATTGAGAAGACCTGTGGGTCTCAGAACCTGCTCCCTAGCCCCATATGAGCCTTAATTAGTCTCAAAACCCTAGCCATGTCTAAGATCTTTTAGCTGGCAATAACTCTTTCTCTCTATTCTCACTAAAGATACTCTATTTAGCAGAATTACTTTGGAGAAGCACTTTAGGATAACCTACACCTTCCTCAATCTGCTATGTTCTACTGTAGCTGTTGGTCTTCTTCTTGCAGGGCTGCATTGGTTTTTGACTTGCCCACGTGGATACAACACCCCTTTTTTTTTGCAAAGGAGCTTTCCAGACAACAGGTCTCCATAAATTATTGGTGATGGGGGTTATCCTCCCCAGTAGTTAGAGTTTAACACTTTCTGACCATCTTCATTTAGATATTCCTTAGAAGGCCAGTTTAATGTCTTATTGAAACTATTTGACATTACACAGGGTTTTGATTTAGAATCATAGAATCATTAAGGTTGGAAGGGGCCTTAAAGATCATCAAGTTCCAACCCCCCTGCCATAAGCAGGGACACCTACCAGTAGATCAGGTTGCACAAAACCTCGTCCAACCTGGCCTTAAAAACCTCCAGGGATGGGGCATTAACAACCTCCCTGGGCAATCCATTCCAGTTCCTCACCACCCTTGTAGTGAAGAATTTCTTCCTAATATCTAATCTAAATCTCCCTTCTCTCAGTTTAAAACCATTACCCCTTGTCCTATCACTATCATTTCTCTGATGAAAAGTCCCTCCCCAGCTTTCCTGTAGGCACCTTTCAAGTCCTGAAAGGCAACTATAAGGTCTCCCTGGCACCTTCTCTTCTCTAGGCTGAACAGCCCCAATTTTCTTAGCCTGTATTCATAGCAGAGGTGCTCCAGGCCTTTGATCATCTTGGTGGCCCTTCTCTGGACCCTCTCCAACAGGTCTGTATCTTTCTTATGCTTAGGGCTCCAGAACTGTACACAGTATTCCAGGTGTGGCCTCACCAGAGCAGAGTAGAGGGGCAGAATCACCTCCCTGGCTCTGCTGGCCACACTTCTTTTGATGAAGCCCAGGATGCAGTTGAGTCTCTTGGCTCCAGTGCTCACTGGCGGCTCATGTTGAGTTTCTCATTAACTACCACCCCAAAGTCCTTCTCCTCAGGGCTGCTCTCCAGCCATTCTTCCCCCAGGCTGTGTTTGTGCCTGGGGTTGCACCAACGCAAGTGCAGGACTCTGCACTTGGCCTTGTTGAACTTCATGAATTTGGCACTGGCCCACCTCTCCAGCCTGTCAAGGTCCCTCTGGATGGCAATCTCTTCCCTCTAGGGTGTCAACTACAACACACAGCTTGGTATCATCAGCAAATGTGCTATCACACAGCACTGTTCTTAAACTATAATAGAAGTACAAAAAGCACATAGTACATAGCAGCCTTTAGAATAATCAGTTGAATCACATTGCATTCATTAATTTTATTACTGTTTTCTATAACATGCTCACTGCTACAAGGCTGGTCGTCCACAGCCAACAAGAGGAAACACACGGGTTGAAACCAGCTCAAGCCTTTTGCTCTTTTGAAAGTTCAAAAGTCCAACTGTTAAGCTAGTACTGCCAAGTCCACTACTAAACCATGTCTCCAGGTACTATATCTAAATGTCTTTTCAATACCTCCAGTGATGGTGACTCAACCACTTCCCTGGGCAGCCTGTAGAACCCTTTCAGTGATGGTACCTGACAACTCTTTCAGTCACAAAAGTTTACCTAATACCCAAACTAAATCTCCCATGGTGCAGCTTGAGGACAGTTCTTGTCTTATCATTCATTACTTGGGAGAAGACCAACCTCACCTCATTCTAACCTCCTTTCTGGTAGATGTAGAGATTGAGCGGGTCTCCCCTCAGCCTCCTTCTCTCCAGACTAAACAACCCCAGTTCCCTCAGACACTCCTCATAGCACTTGTTCTCAAGACCCTTCTCTAGTTTCCTTGCCCTTTTTTGGATGTGTTCCAGCATCTCAATGTCCTTCTGGAGGTGAGAGGCCCAGAACTGAACATCAGATTTGAAGTGTGGCCTCAACAAGTACAGGTGGACAAACACTTCCCTAGTCCAGCTGGCCACACTATTTGCTGATACGAGCCAGGATTCTGTTGGAAAGAAAGGTGATTCTACTCTGCTCTGGCAAGACCCCACCTGGAATAGTGTGTCCAGTTCTGGAGTCCGCAACATAAGAAGTATGTGGACTTGCTGGATTGAGTCCGGAGGAGTGCAATGAAGATGATAAAAGGGCTGGAGCACCTCTCTTACGAAGACAAGTAGACAGATTTGGGGTTTTTTAGCCTGGAGAAGAGAACGCTCTGAGGACACCTCAGAGCACTTTCCAGTGCCCAAGGGGGGTACAAGAAGCTGGGGAGGGACTTTTTACAAGGGCTTGTAGTGATAGTATGAGGCATCATGGTTTTAAACTGAAAGAGAGGAGATTTAGATTAGATTTTAGGAATAAATTCTTTACTGTGAGGGAGGTGAAACACTTGAACAGGTTGCCCAGATAAACTGTGGATGTTCCATCCCCAAAAGTGTTCAAGGCCAGAAGGGATGGGGCTTGAAGCAACCTGGTCTAGTGGGAGGTGTCCCTGTCCATGGCAAAGGGGGTGTGGAATAAGATTATTTTTTTAGGTCTCTTTCAAACCAAACCATTCAATGATTCTGTGATCTTTACTGGCATTCACAAATACATCTGATAGGGTATTTGATCTCACCATCAGCAGTGTTCATTCCTAGCCCTATCCCCAGCTTTGAAAATTTCTTTCCATGTTTTAAGCCTCTTGTCACAGATCTTGAAAAAAAGACACATGCTTCAGTCTCTTCAAAACAATTTTCCAGCCCAACCAGGGCCTGATCTCTGGAAAGTGTTATTTTCCAGTGAACTGTGTACAACAGAAATAAAAGGCATTTGTCCTTCTTAGGGAAGGACTAAGGCAGGACTGAGAAACACAAATGACTGAGAAACTCCTTTGAGGAACTTCCAGTACCCTCAACCTTCCCTGATATAGACAGGATTATTTTACTCAGATTCTCACCCCTCCAGCATCTAAATGGGGTTTTTTCATCAATCAATGTGTGAGCTGAGTACTTAAGCTCCACTCAGTTTTGCAGAGGTCCACTGAATGTTGTCAGTGAAGCTTAGGCACCAATTCATGCCATACCTGTGTAGACTTTACAGTAACTGTGATTAAAAGCTCCCTCATTTCCATTTATAGCAGTAATTTGTAAGGCCTAGTCTTGACACTTAATTCAGGAAGCTACTTTAGAAGATAATTGGTATCAGGATCATGGTGTGGTCAATGGAGAGAAACTGTCATTTTTAGAAGCTGATTCTTCCCTTCATTAAAAATTTGAATTTTTGCTTGTGTTTCTACCTACCCACCCCAACCCCACCCTGGCCAAGTCAATTCCAGTATCTTAGACCCTTTATGCTAGTCCAGAAAAATTAAGCAATGACAAAGTAAAGATGGATTTGTGTCCTGGTTGAAAGCATTCTAAGGATAACATTGGTTTTGCAAAAAATATTTTAATATTTTAATAATTACATGCTTTCCAAGTTTTCAAGGTTTTATTAGAAAATTAAAACTGCCCAAAACACACTTTCAATTGAAAATAAACCCAAATTGAGTAGGGTTTTTTTTATATATATTTATTATTCTGTTGTTCATTTCTGCTCTTTCTGATTGCTCCTCTGTTCAATTTTTAAGTTTTCAAATGTGTTGGCTAGGTTTTTTTTCTGAAAGTTTTAAAATGTTACATTAAAAAAAAAAAAAATCTAACCAAATAACAAAGGGAGGATTAATGTTCTTTCTCTTGATGTTTTAGACTTGGATATCTAAGTCTAAGCTTGTTTTATGGGCTTCATTGATAGCCAATGGAGGATCTGGATGTCCCAGGTTTCCTGTCTTTGTATAAAATACATGTAGAGGAAATGTCCTATTACTAGCACTATGAAAATGTTTTGTTCTTTTGCCATGTATTTCTTCTTTACATGCTAGCTGTAGAAATTATACATACATACATACATACATATACATATATATATATATAAACTTCCTAAACTTCTGTGGTAGTAATCTTCCTTGTCATGTTGCTGCTGTTTTTGTCCAGCATTTTGGTCACAACCCCATGCAAAGCTGCAGGCTTGGAGATGAGTGGTGGTTGGAAACCTCCATGGTAGAGAAGGACCTGGAGGTGCTGGTTGACAGCCAGATGAACATGAGCCAGTGTGTGCCCAGGTGGCCAAGAAGGCCACCAGCATCCTGGCCTGCATCAGGAATGGTGTGGCCAGCAGGAGTAGAGAGGTGATCGTGCCCCTGTGCTCAGCACTGGTGAGGCTGCACCTCGAGTGCTCTGTGCAGTCCTGGGCCCCTCACTTCCAGAAGGATGTAGAGTTGCTGGAATGTGTCCAGAGGAGCTACCAAGCTGGTGAAAGGTCTGGAGAACAAGTCCTGTGAGGAGAGGCTGAGGGAACTGGGATTGCTTAGTTTGAGGAAGAGGAGGCTGAGGGGAGACCTCATTGCTCTCTGCAACTGCCTGAAAGGAGGTTGTAGGGAGGTGGGAGTTGGGCTCTTCTCTTAAGTGAGTAACGACAGGACCAGAGGAAATGGCCTAAAGTTGTGGCTGGGGAGGGTTAGACTGGAGATTAGAAAGAATTTCTTTACTAAAGGAGTGGTTGGACACTGGAACAGACTGCCCAGGGAGGTGGTGGAGTCACCATCCCTGGAAGTGTTTAAAAGAAATATACATAAAGTGCTGAGGGACATGATTTAAGCACTGAAAGGGCAGATGAGGTTATGGTTCGTGGATTTAGGTTATGGTTGGACTTGATGATCTTCAAGGTCCCTTCCAACCAGGATGATTCTATGATTCTTTGTGCTGTTACTTTGGCCTTGACAAAATAATTAGTGCTGTGTGCCAGTTATATTTATCTGTTTCTCCTCAAGCCTGCTGTGCTTCTTCTGTACCCCCAGTCTCTCTAAAACTCCTCTTTTGCTTACAGTTCTTCAAGAAAAGACTGTTTCCTGTAACTGAAAAAATACCCAATGCTGGTTAGCAGAGAGATAGTGCCCAAGACACTGGGTAACACTGCTATTCAGTCATAGACCATTTCTATTACTGGATGCTTCACACAGTTGTACAGCTTCTTTTGCCTTGGCTCAGCTGAATGCTTCATACTGACTTGCATAGCCTATGATCCCTACCTGGCTATTTGCCATCCACTGCATTACACCACCATTATGGATCACAGAGCTTGTTTATGGCTTGTGCTGGGGTGCTGATTGGATGGCTCCCTGTCCTGAATGGAATGGACAGCAGACAAGGTGTACCTGCACCAATCAAGATTTATTGCATACAATGTTGGGGGCTTAACTATTCAGGATGCAAGGCACAAGTTCAGCAAAAGTATAGGGAAATTGGGAGATCTGAATAGAAGTGCGGTTTGGATGCAAAGGATATATAAGCAGCATATTTTGCTACTTACAGTTAAATCAAACAACAAAGGTTAACCACTAAAATGCTGGCAACATACTTATTTTCAAATTCTATACTAGGCCTAGAATATTATCAATTTTAAAGGATTCTACAGTCTTAAACTTAATGATGAAGATTATTTAACATTTAGTTTGCTAATAAAAACAGCAAAAGAGCTGATGTTTCTCACCCTTGCCAGGCCACAGCTGTTGTCCTTGGATGGATCGTAATTCTGAAGAATCGGTCCCTCTGGCAGGTGTCCCTGCTGGAGGACAGAAGGTCCAGCAACCTCCTGGGAAAGTGCACAGGAGTGTTCCAAATCAAAAACAGCACCAGGCTTTTATAGAATTAAGTGGACTGACTGCTGTCATTTAACTATTTTGCCATATTTCCCACATCTCTCATTGTAGAAAAAGAAGAAAACAGTTGAAAAAAACACTAAGGCCTTGTTCTCAACAAGCAAACACTTTTGTTTTTCTCTCTGTTCCTACTTTATCTCTGTTTTGGGCCTAGTTGTGGCTGGGCTGAGCTCCGTGTTCTTCAACACCGGAGAGCAGCTGGAGTTATGAACATCAATTTGGCCTCTGTTTTGTACCTTTCATGGTTGCTACCAGAGTTTGTGAGGCCTTTTCCCTTCTCATGGGAACCTTTCCACTTCAGGCCTGGGCCTGCAAAACTGAGAGACAAAAAGCAGTTGAATCATAGAGGGAAACTGAGGCAGGCATATTGAGAGATGGAGTGTCCTGCTACACTCCCTTACTCCCTCTCACTGCCTTAATCTTCCACCTGCTTTTCTGTGGTTCAACACTATCAACTACTTCTGTGACTTACCACCTTTACTAGAGCTGTTGTGCCAAGATGTCTTTGAAATTGAAGTGATCAAACTTCTGGCCACAATAGTCCTAAATGAGTTCTTTCAGATTCACCATGACCTTCTACAGCTTCACTGTGTCCACCATCTTGCACATACCTGCAGCTGAATGATGCAACAAAACGTTCTCCATCTTGTGCCTCCCATCTGACCATTGTCACCATCTTCTATGGCACCACCATTTCTATGTACATGTGCACCAAGACCATCCAGACTTTATTTCAACACGACTATATCTGTCTCTTACTCTGTGGTAACCCGACTTCTGTATCCTGTCATCTATACCCTAAGAAACTATGGCATCAAGCAACCAGCTATGCGCTGGTAGTTTTGCAGTGAGCAAGTTTTGCAGATTTCATTTGCACTTGTTTTTCTTGTGTTTTATTTCTCTCTCTTTCTTATTTTCCTTTTTCTTATTTTTAAATTTTAATTCTGTTATTATTATTTTAATTATTAAACAGTTTTTATCTGAATCCACGTATCTTCTCACTTTTACCCTTCCCATTCTCTCCTGCCATCCCTCTGGAAGCAACATGGGCTGGGCTGTGCTTACTTGCCAGATGGGATTAAAACACATCGACATCAGTCCTTCTGGTGCCCAATGTGAGGCTTGAACCAAAACCCTGAGTTAAGGGTCTCATGCTCAATTGATTGAGAAAGGCAGGGAATGGGACACTTGCTGCAGCTGTTGGAAGTGTCCAGACCTGGTTGGACAGTCCTGGGCAGAGTGCTGGGTGTAGGCTTGTGCCCTCCCCAGCAGGTTATTGTTTGCACTATTGTCCTGGTTTAAGCCAGGATGAAGCCAATTTTTCTTTTTACTGATTTTTTTTTTCCTCCAGTAAGCTTTCTTTTAACTAGCAACAGTGTGTTCTGCTAGGCTGATAAAACACTGGAATGTTTTTCTAACTACTGAGGCTTCAAGGTCGCACCTCCACTCTGCCAGCTCAGACACTATGGGGAGATCTGTGAACCCCCCGTAGGAGGCTGAGTTAGATGGACAGCAAAATTGGCCAAAGATATTCCATTCCATATATCTACATAAACTCAGAGGAAGGTCAGAGATCACAGAAGACAACTTCCTTCCTTCTTCTTCTCCCCTTCTCTTCCGTCCATGGCCGGCGTCCAGGGAGGACTCTGTTCATCCATCACCATCGACCCTTAGGCTCGAGCTCTTGTTATCCTCATCACTCTGTGCTTTCTCCAGCAGCAGCTCCAGGATTCCTCGGGACTCTTCCCAGTTCAGGGAAGTGCTGTGGGAGTTGCTGATGGTGGGGGGAGGCGAGAGGCTTTTGCCCATACCTGAATATATCTAATATATAATTGTATATATTTTCTTGTATAATTCATTAGTGTTTTAATTAAAGCTGTGTAGTTTAGTTTTCAATCCAGCCAAGTCTCTCTCTTTTTCTCTCTCTCCTTCCCTACCTGGGTAGGGGGGGAGGGGATCGAGAGCGTTGTTGTCGGACCTGAGTCAAACGGTGACAACTATTTAACACAATCTGACAGAGACATTAAACATAAGATGCCAATGGCTTCATTGGTAACATTGGTAACGTCACCTGAGATATTTCTAAGAGTTTCTTCATATCCAAAGCTGGTTTTACCTGGATTATTATCACACTCTGGTCTCCCTCCAAGGGCATGATAGGGATATGAAATTTTAAATAAGTAATCTGTGCTTCCTTGTTTCTTTTCTGCTTGCTTAGACCATTACAGCATGTCAGGTGTGGTTCAGAGCTTTCAGGTTTACTCTGTCCTGTAGCATGGATCTGTGCTTGATTTGTCTACCTGGCACCCAAGAGAATCATCTGGTGAGAGAAAGCTGGGCACAGGTACCCCTAGCCTCACATGGCCTTGTTGAACTTACTCTTTTGAAGTAAGGTCCTGTACCTAGGTTGGGACAATCTCTGGTATTAAGAGAGGAGATGAATGGATTGACAACAGCTCTGAGGAGGAGGACTTGTGGATGGATACTGCTGGATAAAATGAGCCAATAATGTGCACTTACAGCCCAGGTCAAGGGAGATGATTCTCCCACTCTAGTCAGCTCTTGTGAGAAATAACTTGCATCCACTTCTGGGGTGCCCAGTACAAGACAGACAATGGATCTGTTAGACTGTGTCCAGAGTGGGCCGCAAAAATGATCAGAGGTCTGAAACACCTCTCCTGTGAAGAAAGGCTTAGTTTGCTTTTTTTTGCCTGCAGAAAAGAAGGTTCTGGGAAGACCTTATAGCAACCCTTCAGTATGTACAAAGGGTTGAAGACAGAAAGACTTTTTAACAGGCCTGTAGTGACAGGACAGGAGGCAACAGTGTTCAATTGGAAGAAGATAGATTAAGATTACATGTAAGGAAGAATTATGTTTAAGAAGAGAGTGGGACAGGCTGGGACAAGCAATCTGGGACAGGCTGCCCAGAGAAGTTGTGGATGCCCCGTCATCAGAAAGGCTCAAGTCAGGTTGGATGGGGCTTTGAGCAACCTGGCCCATGGGGGTTGACCAAGGTGATCTTTTAATGTCTCTTCCAACCCAAACCAGTCCCTGATTCCATGATTCTTATGTATCTAAGCAGTGGTTTTGGTTATGCTTTGCCCCGTGACAGAAGCAAAAGTGTGGGTCTTTCTCAGGTGCTGTAACTGGGGCTCTCTGACAGACCAGGAATGACTGCTGACATGTTTCTTTCCCATCACATCTTGTTAGGCGGATGCTGTGCTGTTGTGAGAAGGGGCAGGCTGGATTTTGTCTTTCTAGGAAGTCCTGTCCAGCGAAATGCTGTAAGACAGAAGGATGGGAGAAGAAAACACACACTTGAGACATATCCAAAGGTCTCTTACAATTGCATTTTTTTGACAGTTTGCAGTGAAGGACCATGAGGCTGCAGCTAGGATATCTGCCCTTTACAGAAGAGTTATAAGGTGCCTGCTAGCACCTCCATCTAAAATCACCACCTGTGACCCATTCTGCATAGGCTGAGCAGAACACACAGTGCAGAGAGAGTAGCTAGAGCTCATCCACCTGCTGGCATATGACACACAGAAACCCCCACAGTTCATCTCCACCCTTCATCCTGCAAACCCCATCCTGTGTAAATAATCCCATGACTCTTAGATTTCCAGCTGGCTCCTCCTAGAAGCCTAGTTCTGTCCTTGCTTAACCACAAGACTTGCCAAACACTTTTACATGGCCAGTGGCAGAGGGATAAAAAAACCCAAGAGCAGGGACAGGAGATGGAGGGTAGATGGATGAACAGGTGGAGCAATGGCTACAGGTGTACATGCAGACAGGGATGGATGACTGGGGAGACTAAAATGCAGAAAGGTAGTAGAAATATCTCCAGCATTTGTCCCTGCTTCAGAACAGCCGCCGATGCACAGAGGGCCTGCTCCAGGCTGGTATCATCCTCTGGCCTTCAGAGAGACAGGATGAGAAAGGCTGAGAACACTGGCAGCTTTGTCTGAAACAAAAGCTGCCCCAGGTGCAAAGTCTGCTCCTTCACTGTGCGTTTTATCACATCTTAGAAGAGACATCCAACGTCCAGCGGCAGAATTACAATCTCGAAATAATTTATTTTCCCGTACCCCGAGAAGACGAGAGAGAAAGCATCCAGAGGGAAGGGAGGCTTAGGAACAGCGAGAACAACCCCAGCCCGATTCCCAACTGCAACTTTCTTCTGCATGAGAAATATTTAAAAAAACACCACCAAAGCACTTCACGACATTGATTCTTTTAACTCACTGCTTAACCGACTGCTGAGAACCCCCGGCCCCCAGGGCCCAGCACCCGGGCCTCTCCCCGCAGCCCCGGGGCTTCCGGCGCCG